CTCTTGTGGTGGTGGCGGCGACTGCTGTGTGGTGGCTGTGGGGAAGGTGGTTGTGGTGCCGGTGAGGCGGTGGTGTCAAGCTTGTCCGTTGCAGGTAGTGAAGGTCCAGGAGCTGGTGTCGCTGATGTAATGGATGGTGATGCGGAAGGTTGGGATCCAGTAGCTGGAGGGGGCGTGCTTTGGACCGGCAATGGAGGGTCCGTGGCGGTTGTGGATTGGTGGTGTGGGGTCCGATGGCGTCTGTTGTGGGAGTGGAGGCTGGACTGGTGGTGAAGCGCCGATGGTTTGTGGAGGGGGCGGCGGAGGCAACGGTTGGGGACTGGGGGAAAGGCTGAGTAGGGTTGCCAAACGCCCTGGGGGATGGCGCATTGTGGGTCTGTGGATGGGTGATGGGCAACCGCGGCCTGTTGTGGTGTTGGAAGGGGATGTGTCAGTGTAGTGGGGGGAGGAGGTTCAGCCGGTGGTGTGGGATGTAGTGGTGGCAACAGGTATGAAGGGGGAGGTGCTGCTGACGGAAATACTGGAGGTGGATGTGTGGGCTGCGGTGGCATGTGAGATGGTTGCACAAACGTCCAGGTGGACGGAGTGCCGTAGGTCAGTGCAGTGGCGGTCGGACTGGACAAAAAAGGTGGTGGTTGAAATGGTTGTGGTTGTGGGTGAGGGTATGCCGATGGTTGTGGCGAGGGAAAGGTGGGTGCAGTTGACGGCTGTGGCAGCGGCCATGTAGGTTGAGGTTGTGTGGTAGGTAATGGTGGTGGCGTGGCATGAGCGTATGGCCACGGAAAATGCATATCGTAGTCGTAGCTATGGCACGGCGCGGCGCAGCAGCAAAAATGTAGCGGAAAAGTGCCGAGTTGTATTGTCATAATGTTGTTGAAAGTCTCATCTCTGGTGTTGATGGGGAGTATGTTGTAAAGTGGTGCTGGAGGTGAGCTTGTTGTCAGGTGTGTGTTCATGCATCTCGAATTAGATTGAAGAACTCTAATGCCCAAACTTGAGTTCTGCTGATGAAAAAGTCACGGCATTGATATGGCAAAACGTGGAGAAACAAGCATGACGTGGAGAAATGAACATGACGGATCCGAAATCTGAAAGCTGATATCCGATGTATTTCACAAGAACCGTTTTTTGGCCCGGCGGCCTGTATGTCGGTTGATTCGGTGAGGGTGTCGGTGACTTCCTGTGAGAGTCCAGTGAGTGGTGGTGCGTTGTGGTTGTTGCTTTCCCATGCAAGATCGGCGCCCCTGTGACGGGGATCACACTCAGCACCCGAGTGGGACGGCTGAGCGAGACACACTCTGACACTGGTTTTCCGTTAACTCAATTTCTCCGATGGGAAGGAAGGCGAGGGAACGGCAAGGTGGCAAAGTCCGCTGAAAAGTATTGTTTAACACAAGTTTCCCGACAAGCGCAAGTGGAAGCGGCGGTCAGCAGCTGCAGTGCAGTGGGAAACCTGTTTGTGGGGAAAGTATCGTGTGGAACCACCATGAATCAAACCAAAAGATTGGACATGTTCAAAAGTTGTAGCAGGTACGCAGGGCTGATCGGGCCCTGCTTCTCACTCTCGCCCACAGCTTCGTTGCGTGTGGTAGGGCGAGAGTGCCACACGCCCCTGCTTGTGAGAAAAAGTGTTGGAAAACCCTTTGTCCAGGGGTGGACACACACACACACACACTGGAAGAGCGAAAGCATCCAAGTGCGAAGTATGCCAGGGTCAAAGTATGCAAGTGTGAGTATGCAAGCCAGTGTGAGTATGGAAAATATGGAAAACTAGCACGGGAGATGTCCTAATGAAAAAACATTTCCCCACTTTA